GCTCTCGTGTCTGTTGACCAGTGTATCAGTAAACGCTCTCGTGTCTGTTGACCAGTGTATCAGTAAACGCTCTCGTGTCTGTTGATCAGTGTATCAGTAAACACTCTCGTGTTTGTTGATTATTAGTAAACACTTTTTTGTCTATTAATTAGCAAAAATTGATATTTATTATTAGAACACCCTTTGAAGTGCATTTATTTTCAAACAACTTGGTGTTTGTGTATCAGAAAAAACTTGTTTTAGTACACCTTTTATAGTTTATTAGAACACTGATGTTTATTAACAAGTAGAACAACCATTATTTATTTTAGTACACTTTATGGTATTTAGTTATGAATATTTTTTTTATTAGACCTTTTTGTACTTTTCTGGCACACCTTTTTTTTTATTTGTATCAGACTATCCTTTATCTATGAGCATATGTAAATTTCAGAGTCTTACACAATAACAAGAGAAAGGAAAAATTTGAAAAGTCAAAGATAAAAATTAGGCTTACCAATTCTAATTTCAGGCCTAATTTCTCTAGAATCCCATGTGCTTGTTGGGCTTTTTTCTAAATATACAGAAGATAGTACTAAAGTACAGTAATAATATTTATTTCAAAATATTGTAAGATTTTTCACCATACTTATCTAATTCTACCTCATCATAACTTTTAGTAGTTTAAAACCTTTTTGAATGTAGTAACTATTTTCCCTACAGCTGTTGTATTTAATAGTGTACAGTGCAGAACAACAAAATGAAGAAATTAATTTTTTTTGTTGTTTTTTTATTTTTTTATTTGATATTTCTTCACTTGTATAATGCCAGTATCAAAGCTATGTTGTCTGGCAAGTATCATTTCAAGTTTTCAAATGCTAAATTTTTAACATAATACCACTGTTTGCTACTTTTAAAACTGGGTCTATAAAATCCTCAAACCATTTTTATAACCCTAAAAATATTTATCTAAGAAGCTTTTAACACACAACTATGTACCGAGTTATAACAGTTTTTTTTTTTGTAGCTAATATTATCTGTATAAAAGTGATTACACAAGTTACAAAAACACTGATAATACCATTTCTTTTAAAATGGTTGCAATGAATACAATTGGATACAACTTACATCAAAAGATTTGGTATTTCTATTACAATATAAATTTTTTCACCTGATAATCAACCACACAAAATTACGCTATTAATTGTAAAAAGTAAATTTCGTGTTAAATTTATTTTTTCAAGCTTATCATAACAATAGATATTATAATTCATGATGCGTTTTAAAAATATTTCTCAACTATGAAAACAGTCAAACACAAAAAACAACACAAACTGGTTTTAATACTGAATGTCCGAGGTTAATAGCCTTGCCTCAACTTTACACAGATTTCATACTGAACCACTGCACTGTTGTTAAAAGGAAGTTCTTACTGTAAGCTTCTCAAACAGTTACACAAACATGCACGTGAACAGTTCATCAACCTGTATTTAGTATACACCACTGATTAATCACCATGACTTCTAACAAAAACAAAATCAAAGATTCACTTTACTGGAGAACTGTCAGGCAACAAGTTTAAACACCAAAGTTCAAAGCTTTAAAAACAAAAAAAAAGTGAAATATAAAGAAAATTCATTTTATGTCTTGATAGTTACACTGAAACAAAAACATCATGCAAGGTGTAATAAAACTACAAAACTTCAAATAACATCCATTAACTAGAAACAACGGCACAAAAAAAAAGTCATTGTACTAAAAGTGCCTATATAATATGATCACTTCATAAGCTTACTGCAGTTTATATTAATACTGTACCATAAATTATGCGAGTACAAAAAATTGTCGTAATATACTCTTCGACTACCATTTACTTTGATACTCTCACTTTATCTTGTAACCAAGTTTATCAACAATCTATGTCTACCATTTACTTTGATGTACTAACATTATCCTGTAACCAAGTTTACCAACAATCTATGTCTACCATTTACTTTGATGTACTAACATTATCCTGTAACCAAATTTATCAACAATCTGGGTTACAGGATAATGTTAGTACATCAAAGTAAATGGTAGATTCATAGATTGTTGGTAAACGGTTACAGGATAATGTTAGTACATCAAAGTAAATGGTAGAAAATTTTACCAACAATCTATGTCTATCATTTACTTTGATTTACTAACATTATCCTGTAACCAAGTTTACCAACAATCTATGTCTATCATTTACTTTGATTTACTAACATTATCCTGTAACCAAGTTTATCAACAATCTATGTCTACCATTTACTTTAATGTACTAACATTATCCTGTAACCAAGTTTACCAACAATCTATGTCTATCATTTCCTTTGATGTACTAACATTATTCTGTAAC